TTACCCCCACCGACAGAAGACACTGAAGAGCCAAGAAAGCCCCCCAACCCACCAAGCTCCCCAGCACAGCCAGGGGGGAGGAAGACCATGTGCTGCTTCCTCTCCCTGTCTGGCAGGAGGCTGCAGGGAGACTCACCCCTCCCACACAGCATGCCCCTCTCAGGGCTGGTACGCAGGTCAAAGTCTGGTGGCAGTCCCCAAAGCTCGCTGCGGTAGATAAAGCACGTGGGAAGGGTGTGGGCTTTCTCACTGCAGGGGTTCAGTGCCCAGGAGCTCAGGAGCTCCAGCTGAAGGGGACAGGGAGGCACAGAGCAAGACCTTCCCAGCCCCTGGGCTCCCACCCCAGGGCCCACCTCCATCTGCTGGCAGCTGGAAGGAGTGGGACATGGAAGATCTCTCCCCCCGATCCCCGCCAAAGCAAGGGCTGCTGCCTGCTTTCTGGTGCTGTAAAGACACCCAGTCTCTGTTCATCCTTGTTCCGCACCAGCTCCAGTGCGATCCCACCAGACAGGGAGCCACTGGCCCAGCTCCAAGGAGGGAGCAAGGGGGACAAGAGGGAGCACCGCAGAGCATGAAGCAGCTGAAGGGCTGGGAAGCGTGAAGGGGACAGACAAGGAACATGATCTTCCTTTGCTAGACCTTGCCCCAGGCTGAGGCTGTTAAAGCTCCCCAGCCTTTTTCCCCACTGCACCTACGGGGAAAGCAGGGTTAGAAGAGAAGCTGGACAGACTGGGGAGGGAGTGACGCCTTCAGAAGAGCAGGGAAGGCAACTGTTCACCCACATGAAGCTTTCCACTCTGCTCCTAGTTTTGTGGGATGAACATCTCCTGGCATCTCTGCTCTCCTCTTCGAGGCACGCTCCCTCTGGCCCTTGCCCGGCCATCTGGAGAATAGAGCGTGAGCAGCAGTCCCCCACCCACCCTCCCCACCTCCTCGGGCTGCTCCAGTCCCCTCCTCCTCGGGCTGCTCCAGCCCCGCAGGGCTGGCTTCCCAAGGACTCTGCAGTGTAGTGCCTGCAACGTGCGGCCCTAGAGGTTTCCCCAGGACTCCGGTGGGGGGAACTGGTCCACATCCCCCATTTCATTGTAGGTTTGCTCTCCCATGGTGAAAGTCAGCTTGTATCGTAGCCTCACTTTCTCCTGGAGACAGGGGAGAAAGGAAAAGCAGTCAGAAGTGTGTGCGTGGGGAAAGTCATGAGGCACAAACCATTCAGGCCTCTAGGAAGCTGCAGAGAGCAGAGGGAATAGGGACAGGGCAGCCAGGCTTTGCAAGACCAGCCTGCTCATGCCCCAGGGACGGTGCCGTTACCTTCTGTGGGTTAGCGAGCAGCAGGACTTGTGTGATGGCACTGGGGTGGACAATGGGGTTGAATGCTGGCAGCTCTGTGCCTGAGGGAGGCTGTAGCTTCACCTTCATCACCTAGAGAGAGAGAGAAGAGCATCCCACATTCCTGAGGGCATACTTGGCAGCCAAAGGCCCTGCTCCCATGTTTGGGGAGCTTCCACTGTCTAGTCAAAGAGAAAAACATTTGTGCTGGTTCCTGCTAATCTGAAGGCAACACAGCTCACTCTCAGCCCCACAGAGCTCTCTCCAACCCCCCGCCTTTCCTGCAAAGGGAGAATCACACTTCAGCCCAGTCTGGGGACCTCAGCTCCAGCAGCCACCTTACCTTGGGGACAGCGGACTGAAAGACAATGTTGCGGATGGGCTGCGGGGCTGTGCTAAGCATAGAGATCACCACCACAAGCACATCGGGCCTCTCGGGCAGGGCATCCTTAGCAAAGTGGAAGAGGACGCGAAAGCCGTGCTGATCATACACTGTCACAGGGAGGATGCTGCCTGTGGGAAAGGCAGAGGCAGGCAGCAGTCAGCCAGGAGGGAACTGGCCCTGCAGCAACCTCTCCCCATCACCCAAACTCCATATAAGTGAGAGAGATACCACTCCTCCTCAACCTCCACAGAATCCAACAAGCAAGAAGTCTCCTCACATTCTTCCCTTCTATACATGCATGGTTTGTTGCACCTTCTTCACACCCTGTCCAGTTGCTTCTTCCCTGATTTGTCTGGCTCCTTTCCAAACAGTCCACACCCC